CAGGCCTCAGTTTCTGGACACATGGAACTCTCCATAGCTTGCTTGGCTATCATCATGACATTCTGCTAGCTTCCCACAGAATGAGTGTTGGGAAATAGAGGGACTCCATAAGAACATAATGCCAGGAGACAAGGATCAGTGGGGTTTGTCCTAGAGAATGGCTATTACAGATGATGTGGTAGGTTTCCACAACACACAATCTCTTCATTATTTGGCTATTTGACCTTACAAACGTTAGATAACATTTTTTTAAAAAAATGAATTTATTGGGATGACATAAATTAATAAAATTATGTAGGTTTCAGGTGTACAGTTCTATAATACATCATCTACATATTGTTTTGTGTGTTCACCACCCCAATCAAGTCTTTTTTTTTATCACCATCTATCCCCACTTGACCCTCTTCTACCTCCTCCCACCCCTTTTCCCTCTGGTAATTACCATACTGTTGTCTTGTGTCCATGAGGTTTTTTATCCTAATTTCTTCATCTTTTTCACTTAACATTTTTTGAGATGCATTTTTATCATCTGGTATGTCTCTATTAACGTTTATTCCTCTAAAAAACATTATCAGCTTATTCCCTAAACCTTGTTTGCACAGATGGTAAAAAAAAAAAAAATGCAGTTCTCATCTACCTTCTTTAGTGCTTATGTTTTTTACTGTTGCCACCAGCAACAAATTTGGCAAGATTATAGGAGATTTATGAGGGAATAAAGTAGACCCCTTATTTGCAAATATGCTTTCTGTGGTTTCAGTTACAACCAACTGTGGTCCAGCAATATTGAATGGAAAATTCCAGAAATAAAAATTTTATAAGTTTTAATTGCATGGTGTGCTGAGTAATGTGATAAAATCCTGCACCATCCCTCTCCCTCCCACCTGGAATGTGAATCATTCCTTTGTCTAGTGTACCCATGCTGAGAATGCTGCCTGCCAGTTTGTTGCTTAGAGCCATGCTTGTGAGATTGACTGATCTGGTATTGTAGTGCTTGTGTTCAAGTAAGCCTTATTTTATTGTTATAATTATTCTATTTTATTACTAATTATTATTGTTAACCTCTTACTGTGCATAAATTATAAATTAAACTTTATTGTAAGTATATATATATATATATATATATATATATATATATATATATATATGCATTAAAAAACAGTGTACATTCATAGTGTTTGTTACCATCTGCCGTTTCAGGCAGCATCTGGGGGTCTTGGAATGTATCCCCTGTGAATCAGAAGGGCTACTGTAGTCAATCAGCCAGAGAGAAGAGTTCCCAAATTTTGTGAAGACATTTTAAAGTAAAAGATTCAAAGAGATATTTGAGAATGGTTAAACCAGTCGTATTCAGGCTACTCATTAGCTTTTAAAAAATAACTTTATAGCTCAATAATTCATATACCACATAATTCATCCATTTAAAGTATAAAAGTTAGTAGTTTTTCATACATTTACAGAGTATGTATCACATTTCTTTTAAAACACTTCTGTTTTATTTTTCTTTCTTCTTTTTAAATTTATTTATGGATTAAGGTATCACATATTTGTCCTCATCCCCGCATTCCCATCTCAAACCCCTCCCTACACATGCCCCCATGCCCTTGTTGTCCATGATCACTTGTTAGGCTTATATGCATGCACACAAGTCCTTTGGTTGATCTCTCTCCCTTATCCCCACCCTTTCCTATTTTCCCTCTGAGGTTTGACAGTCTAATTGATGCTTCCCTGTCTCCGGGTCTGTTTTTGTTCATCAATTTATGTTGTTCATTATTTCCCCTAGATGAGTGAGATCATGTGATACTAGAAATTCACTTATAAGAACCAAAAATGAGACAAGCCATAATGGTTATATTGAGGCAAATGAATCAGTCTGTAGGGAGTTTCTTCCTGGGCCAACAGTTCTTTTGAGTTCCAATTTCAATGTCAAACATGTGTACCTGTCAGCAATGATATTTCAGTTCTGGATGGTGGACAAATGGTGGTAATGCAGGTCCAACCCTCTCTGGTTTGGAAAAGACTTTTATTTTCCAAAAAGAAACCCTATCGTCATTAGCAGACACTCACCCACTGTCCCCAGTTATAGGCAACCAGTAATCTACTTTCTGTTCCTATGGATTTGCCTATTTTGCACATTTTTGTGAATTGAATCATATGCTAGGCATTCTTTTATGACTATCTTTTTTCAGTTAGCACATTTTCAAGAATCATTCATGTTGTAGTACACTTTTGTACTTTTAATTGCTGAATAATATTTCATTGCATGAATACACATTTTACTCATCCATTCAACAGTTGATAGACATGTGTGTTGTTTCCACTTTTTGGCTGTTATAAGTCACGCTGCTGTGAACATTCATGTACAGATTTTTGTGTGGACATATGTTTTCATTTCTCATGGGTATATAAATAGGAGTGAAATTGCTGGTTCATATGGTAACTCTATGTTTAACATTTTGAGGAACTGCCAAACTTTTCTAAAGCAGCTGTATCACTTTGCATTCCTCCCAGCAGTGTATGAGGGCTCCAATTTCTGTATTTCCTTGCCAATGTTTTTTGTTGGTCTTTTTTTATTTTAGTCATCCTGGTGAGTGTGAAGTGGTATTTCTTGACATTTTCCTAATAGCTAATAATGTTGAGCACCTTTTCATGTGTTTATTGGCCATTTGAATATCTTCTATGGAGAAATGTCCATTGAAATTCTTTAGCCATTTTTAAGTTGGGCTATTTGTATTTTTATTGTTCAGTTGTAAGAGTTTTTTATATACCCTGGCTACAAGCCCCTTATAAGACTTGGTGTCTGTTTATTTTTGTTTCACCTGAGTATATTTCTTTCCAATGATTTTTTTTTTTGAGAGAGAGGTGTGAGACACATCGATTGTTTGCCTCCCACACATGCCCTGACTAGGGATTGAATTGAACCTCCACACTTCAGTGCCAGGAAGATGTTCTAACCACTGAGACACACCAGCCAGGGCAAAACTTCATGTCTTATGGTGGTGTGGGACAGTGGTTGGCAAACTCATTAGTCGACAGAGCCAAATATCAACAGTACAATGATTGACATTTCTTTTGAGAGCCAATTTAAACTTATTCTAATGTCATTTCTTCAAAATAGACTTGCCCAGGCCATGGTATTTTGTGGAAGAGCCACACTCAAGGGCCAAAGAGCCACATGTGGTTCACGAGTCCCAGTTTGCTGACCACTGGTGTAGGACATCAAATTAAGGTTCAATATCATATGCTACCTTGACATCTAAAAAAACTGGAAGGGCTGTGAATGGCGTAACTCTTTGTTCCCCTCTCCACTCTGCTCCCACGTATAAGGCTACTTAGCCAATCAACACTCCTTATCAAATGGACCAAATATGTTTTCCACTTATGCTTGACTAGTGAGTTTCAATGAAATTATTCAAATAAGCCAATTATATCCTTTAATGGGACCCAGTGGGCATCTCACCCACTTGATATTACCAAGTTGACCTCCACAGCTTACTCTTCACTCTGCTCTGAGTGCACCTCCCACGGGATCCTACATGGCACGGTGTCATCCTCTTCTGGGCTGTGAGTGTATGTGACTAATAAATCGCTATCATTCTCATTGTATGTTTGGCTATCTCCATAACCCTACGGCAAGAATCCCTTCCTCACCAAGAAGCAAAGGGAAAGCAATAATAATAATAATAATAATAATAATAATAATAAATATATATTTTGCAATTTCCCCTCATTTCTATGTCATATTTCAGTTTCTTGATGGTATCATTTGAAGGATATAAGTGGTTTTTAAAAAAATGTAATTTTATTGTTTTCAGAGAGGGAGAGAGAGAAACATGATGAGAATCATTGATCAGCTGTGTCTTGCATGCCCCCTACTGAAGATTGAGCCTGCAACCTGAGCATGTGCTCTCTCTCTCTATATATATATATTTAAAAGATATTTTATTGATTTTTTACAGAGAGGTAAAGAGAGGGATAGAGAGTTAGAAACATCGATGCGAAACATCAATCAGCTGCCTCTTGCACACCCCCTAATGGGGATGTGCCTGCAACCAAGGTACATGCCCTTGACCGGTTTCAAACCTGGGACCCTTCAGTCCACAGGCTGACGCTCTATCCACTGAGCCAAACCGGTTTCGGCTGAGCATGTGCTCTTGACCTGAATGGAACCCGGGATCCTTCAGTCTGCAGGCCAATGCTCTATCCACTGAGCCAAATTAGCTAGGGTGAAGGACATACGTTTTTAATGTGGTGAAGTTCTATTTATCCTTTTGTTTTGTTTTGATCACTTATGTTTTTGGGCTATATCCAAGAAGGCTTTGCTTAACCCTAGGTTTTCAAGATTTACTTCTTTGTTTTCTTCTAAAAGTTATATAGATTTAGTTCTTACATTTAGAGCTATGATCCATTTGGAGTAAAGTTTTGTATGTGGTGTAGGAATGCTTTTGAAAAAAAATTTTTGCATGTGATTATCCAATTGTTCAGTACTATTTTTCCTCGAATTATTTTGCCATTACTTTTTGAATAGTCTTCTGTATTTGAAGAAGTTTCCTTTCTTTTCTTTTCTTTTCTTTTCTTTTCTTTTCTTTCCTTTTCTTTTCTTTTCTTTTCTTTCTTTCTTTCTTTCTTTCTTTTTTTTTTTTTTTTGTGCTCCTCTAAATGTATTTCAAGTTCTTTCCAAACAAGGCAACAGGAACCCCAAGTTCAGTATGCTCTAGGCCTGGTCCACGCCGCCTTGTGTTCATGCTTGGGTAGAGATGTGACACAGGCCCCTCTCCTCCATGGCATGAGCCCTGGGCTGATTTCAGAGGTGACAGCAGTGGCCAACGTGGGAAACACACTGGACTTTTCCTTTGGAAGTGGGACATCATCACCATGTTTCCCTGGCCCTTCCCCTCTGGTTTCTGAAGCTACAGCAGAAAATAATCTTCTTTGAAGATACTGGATAATTCCAAAATACAAAACACATGCTTCCAATGCAGTCTGCTTTTAGGTATTCTGGTCTAGTTCAGCTGCTGGATGAGCTGGTTGATGCATCCACCTGGATACCCAGGGGTGCCCACCTCCTTGAGGAAGCCCACTCTATTCTTGGGAGCATGGCGGGCCACCGAGAGGTGGAAAGGGCACAGGAACCCTGAGATGGCCTGGAAATTCTTCCCTGGGAAGGCAATTTCATGAATGAGGTCTTCCAAGCAAATGACATCAGACTTCCCCAGATGCTCCTCAGTCATTGTGTTGTCTGTCAAAGGGATGATTTTATTCTTGACCTTGGCTTGCCCACGTTTCAAGATGAGCTCCCAGACAGACTTCAGATTTGGAAATCCCCAGGTCATATAAGGCTCCATTGTACGCAGCGTTTTTATGGTCTTGACAAAGACACCACTGAGAATCTTCTTCAGGCGAAGCCTTGCCATGGCTTTCTGTACCATTACGCTCACCCCTCTGATCCTCTGGATGCGTACAACAAAAGGCCAAGGAATGTTCATCGGGCACTTCCAAACCATGAGGCTTCATGTCTAGTCGTCTGAGGCGCACCTTGTCACGTTGTTGCCGCCACGCGTCGTGTAGGAACCATTCCAGTCGCTTAAACCTGATATCTTTCCCTTTCCTGTGCTCTTTCTTTCCCAACAGTGCCCGCTTTGCCTTGGTGGCTTTGAGCGCCTGATAAGCTTTCCTTTTTTTCAGGAGGTTTTCTGGAGCCAAAGGGATCTTTTTTCTTTGCTCTTCCTCCACCACCTTTCCAAAGCTGCAGCCCCGGCGCAGTCCTACTACGCGGAAGGGGAGGCACCGCTCTATGTTTACTTGACCATAGAGACGTCTCTGATCCTCCCGACCCGGAGGGCAAGCCTCCCGCGAGCAGCAGTCCCCGCTGAGGCCTTTTCACTCAAGCTATAGTCTCCTATCAGAAGTTTCCATTTTTGAGTCCTACATTCTCACCGTCGCGTCAAACCACAAGTTCATAGCCTCTCTTGCAGCTAAAATGTGGCATGTGGTCCAGGACTCAGCCATTAGATATACCCATGAGAAAATGTGATACAAAAGGGAGCAATATGAGCAAACAGGCCTATGTGTAGCCTTGTGATTTTTGGTGTAGTGGTGACAATGGCCACAGTTGGTTTCTGTAGTCTTTGTGGGGCCTTAGAAATGATGATTGCTCTTTAACAGGCCAGCTACCCCATGGCTTTTGACATTATAACCAAGGTTATCCTTGAGCCTTGCTCTCAGCTTCCCAACTAGCTCTTCTATGGATTATGGGATATATTTTTTGCTTATCAGCCCATGTCAATTTGTTTTGCTAACAACCTACAGTCTGACTGACAAACATGCTAAGAAGTGATAAAGTAGAATTTTAGGTAATGACTCGTATAATTTTGCATAGAAAATGTGTCTGATAATTCCTACTGGCTTTTGAGATGGAGATGTAGAGGACATTCTTACAAATAGTAGTACCTCTTTTAAGCCAATACAATACAATTTCAGCATTCTGTTCTCTGATAAATTAAAAACAAGCAGTAGACTTCCCAATCCAAAATTGCATAGACAATTCATACTCTCATCTCTGACCAGCTCTTTTCCTTTCTTTTACTTCTCCTGATTTTTAGTTCTGTTTCATAGATAGGCCTCTATGTTGTTCTTGTACCTGGTTGCATGTTAGGCTCCCTGGCTTGACTCATATCTCCCCCTTGAGGACTAGAACCCAACCTAACCTGTCTCTGACTCTTCAAATCTGAATTAGCCTGTTTATTATCCCCTTAGGATCTAATTCCTGCTTCCAGGTAACATAGCAGGTAAATGGTTGGACCTGTCTTTCCCATCTCAATCCATTTTCCCATCTCAGTTCTCTGGATCCAAGCCAATGAACATTGCTATACGGATAGAAGTAAGTTGTATCTCAAGGGAAACATTGCCTGGAGGAGGTAGAAGATCTGACTTTGAGGGGAGATAGCAGTTCCCGGGAAAGGTGGCGAGAGAGTCGTGGTAAGTCACTCAGCACTTATAGGTCCTCTTTCCTGTATTCTCCTTGAGAGGCACCCCCAGGTCTACTCCAACTCCTTTGTCCTAGAAAAAGTATTGGGTAAACAAGACAAATGAATTTACCCAATTTCCTCATTGAGATGCAAATCCTTGAAAAGCAGAACCCACTATCTGTTAATGAATTAAAAGGTCTGATTTTTTATTTTATTTTATTTTATTTTATTTTATTTTATTTTATTTTATTTTATTTTATTTTATTTTATTTTATTTTATTTTATTTTTTATGTCCTGTGAGGGAGTTAGGCTGAATATATGTCATCAGAGCTCTCTATTCTCTCGAAGTTCCATAACCCACATTTCCTATTTCTCTTCACCACAAATTCATAATTCAGGGCTCTGGAGCCACTTATATTGTCAATCTTAAAAGCTACAAAGAATAATCTGGGAATAAGTTGGGGTGGAGTGGAAGCAGAGGAGAGAGATTTCTCATGAAGCTGCCAGTGTCGTTCCCATCTGCTTCTGGTTCCTAATATGAAGATGTATTTACATATTCTCTCTCTATCCTGGAGAATCGAATTCTACTGCCATTTTCTTTTTGCCTCATAGACAATGAGCTTAAATCTTTTCTTATGGTGTTAAAAACTAGAATCAATGTGAACAGTGTCATTGGAAAAAATTAGGTTTTTTTATTTTTTTTTTATTTTTTGAGAGCATGAACCAAGAAAAATAGATTGGTAAAAGTAATGTGAAATGGTCTCTATTGAAGTTATTATGTTTGATAGGTTTTTCTAAGGCATTAACCTCAGAGGTGTCTCCAAAAGATGCTTTCAAGATGCTGCACTCTTATAAAAGAAGACAGTGGAGGTAGAGGGCTAAAAAATAGACTAAGACCTGGAGGGACCCTACAAGACCTCCATTTCCCTAATCTCTGAGGTCTAGTGGCAAAGTTACTTAGGTCATCACTATTTCAGTTTCGCTATCTGTAAATGGGAACAGTTACTTCGTAAGTAGTTTAATAGCTTATAATTTTTTCAAAAATGCAGATGGGCAAGAAGAATGCAAAATAGATATCTAATCCTCCTTTTACAGTAGAGAGGAAATAATTACTTCTCTTTGGTGTATATCCTCCAGTGTCTGTGTCTATTGGTTATGCTTTGGTTGGTCTCTTATCCCCGCCTCCCACCCTCCCCTGCCTTCCCGCTGAAGTTTGACAGTCTGTGTGATGCCTCTTTGTATCTATTTTTGTTCATCAATTTATGATGTATGGGCAATTTTGAGACTCCTGAGAGATAGCATTTATCTCTTGGTTTGTTAGGCTATGTACAATATAATTTGGAATGTCACTGCACAAGTAAGTTTGTATTTGTATGACTTGAATACATGCTCCTAATGGAACAAGATTGGAACCTGTAGTTCTTCCACATAGTAGATTGCACCATGACTTAACAAGCCATTGATATGACTGATCTAAAATAGCCAGCATTCATCCTATCACCTATATTTATTTTCCAAATATTTTACATTTTACTTCTAATTTGGACAAGGAATGAACTTGCCTCCTAGAAAACACATCTGATGTTTAGATATTTCTTTTATAGGTCTGGGCAAGTAAACATTTCAAATTTTCTACCTAGCTATTATTTTTTTAATTTAAAAATATATTTTATTGATTTTTTTCAGAGAGGAAGGGAGAGGGATAGAGAGCTAGAAACATCGATGAGAGAGAAACATCAATCAGCTGTCTCCTGCACACCCCCTACCGGGGATGTGCCCGCAACCAAGTTACATGACCGGAATGAATCTGGGACCTTTCAGTCTGTAGGCTGATGCTCTATCCGCTGAGCCAAACCGACTTTGGCTAGCTATTATTATTTAGATACCACAAGGATTATACAGAGGTTAATAACTAAAAGAACATATCAAATGTAGTTGTTGTCATGTTAATAACCCAAGCCCAGATGTAAATACATTCATTGTGTACTCTTTTTATATGTACATAGTTTTATAATACTAACAATAACTTGGTTTTGTGTATTTCTGAAATCTTTTACTAACCTTTTTATTTCCTTTATCATCATACCCCTGTGGCTCAAGCATTCTGTCTCTCTCTATTCTTGTCTTTCCTCCTGATCTTCTCTAGGCCAACTACATTAACCAGACGCTTGTCAACTGATATCCCTGATTTAATCTCAGAACAATTAGAGGAAACTCTTGCAACACTCATGATTTCTGCTTTTCTCTCCAAACTGTATGAGGCTGATTAAATTATGCACTTGACATCTATGTTCTTAAAACAGAAGTGCAACTTAATGGGATGCAGCAATCAAATAAAATTTCTCCTTCAATTTATTTTTTGAGCAGTTTTTATGGTGAACAATGGCAAACATACAGTGAAAATGTATCAGGCTTAATAAATCATTATAAGGCAAAGGAGTATTTAACCATCACCCAGGTAGGTTGTTAATAGAACATTGCTGCACCCCAGGCTCCCCTTATATATTCTTTCCCATTCATACTCCCCTCCCCCAAATTAACCACTTGCCTGACTTTTATGGTAATTTTTTCTCTCCTTTATTCTATAATTATACCACCTATGTATTCATTCCCTCAAGCTGTATTTTACTTTTGGTCTATTTTTTTAACTTTATATAAATGTAAACATTTGGGTCTGGCTTTGTATGGGTTCCTGGCCAGAAACAAATAGCACATTCAAAAGGAGGATTTAAGAGTTTCATAAAGAGACTGTATACAAATTGTGTATAAGATTAAAGAGAATCAACAAGGAATGTTGTAGCATCCGGGTCTAACAATAGCAGGGATGTGGGGAGCCTTTATTACCCATAGGCCTGCAGGGCAAGCAGTTACAAGAACCCTGTACCCCTGTTGCTGTTGGGGAGAGCTGCCAACAGCACATGTGACCTTTGGCAGAGAAACATACCAACTGTGCCCTGGCAGAGAGAGTCTGAAGGGACAAATATCCTAAACCTCTCTCCTCCTGCCTTCTCACCTGCCTCTTATTGGCAAGAGTGCACCAAAGCCAGAGGGCAAGCCATTTAAAGAAATCCATATGGTCCAGGCTCCTAGACACAGGGGTAGAGAGAGGATGGAGAGTGGGCCTGGAGGCTCAAATGGAGCAGGATTTTTTCCTTGACCATATTTTGAGTGACTTATTCACATTGTTGTATATAGCTGGATTTTGCTTATTTTCACTGCTGTATAGTGCTCTATTATGAAAATATATCCTTATCCATTTTATTGTGGATGGACATTGGGTTCTATCTTGTCTTTGGCTACCATAATTGGTGTCTATTCATTGAGGCACATGGGCATGTTTCCTACTGAGTACCTATCAAGGAACAGAACTGATAGAAAATGTGACCTGTAAATATTTAGTAAAGAATGACAATGTATTTTCTAGAGTTGTTGCATCAACTTACACTCCTAACAGCAGTTCCTGAGATGTCTGTTGTTCCATAGACTTGTAAATCTCAGGTATTATCAGTTTTTTTTAAATTTTAGCCATACTGGT